GAGAGAAAGCGAGTGAGGGGGAGAGAGGCGTGAGAGAGAGGCGAGAGAGCCTTGAGGAGAAAAGAGAGCGAGAGAGAGAGAGGAAGCGCGCGAGAGAGCGAGTGAGGAGAGGCAGCGCCGAGGATTATTTCAAATAATGGGTTTTAAACCAAAAATGTTTACTCGGAAAAATTCAGAAGAAATCAATTGATTAGGGCAAATCCATCTCGTTTTTCGAATTCTTGCATAGAAAATGCTGTTTTTAAATTAATAGCAGGTAAAATTGGCAGAATATTAAATGATATTGATCTCTAGGATATTTTCATTTTAAGCCTCGTTACCATTATTTGCTTTTCAGATAATGGGCCCGAAAGAGATTGGCGAGGCGGCCGACCAGCTTCGGGCCTTGCATATCCCGAATAATGTTGCCGAGTTGGAGCAGCTGGTGGCAAGTATGTTACACTCCATTTTACGGCATTACTATAAAAATTTCGAAAACTCAAAAGTTTCCTAAAAATATCCTGAAATTTCCGAACTCATATACACTGCTGCCAATTAAATCCGAAACCGGCTAAAACATCTTTTTTTTTAATTTGGTGCTTCGAGTTAGCGAGGGGTGGGGGGTGGGTAAAGCTGGTTGAATTTATCATTTATTTTTTACTTCGAAGATATCTCAAACCAAGGCCGAAATTATTTAAACACCAGCGCCCAAAACCCGCGTCCGGATGGCAGGCGCTGGAATACGATTCCTTTTGCATGAGAATTTGACTTTCCGATAGCCTGGGTCCTTCGGACCCCCTGATCCGACCACACCCCGCGCGTGCAACTTGCAAGAATGAGGGAAATTTGTATTTTTGGAATTATGCAAAGTAGCCCTCCCTGGCGCCGGACACACACACACACAAAGATACGCGACCAAATTATATAAGGTAGGATATTTTGTTGTGATTTCACGAAAAAATTCGCCCTTTGGCGAAATTCGGAAAAGGAAATTTTTTTGCAACACATTTTGGAAACAAAAGATTGGCTTTTAGAAAATTCGATATTTTCTGGGTGATCCTACTATCCTACTATATATAAAAAAATAGTTCCTGTGTGTGTGTCTGTATGTGTGTGCATTTGCATTGCAACTTCCGTCAAGCGTGTTCCAGCAATATCTCCAATAAGGGAAGTGAGTTAGGGTATGTTTTATACGTCATTAGGTGCGTAATGGCCTTGGGATGACTGCACACTCATAAAATTTTCAAAAAGTCGCAGTTTTCGACGTTAAAATTAAGTTTTTGTTGTAAAATCGGTGACCCTCTTTGTTAGGAAGCAATTAGCATACGCCGGATGTTGTGGGAGCCTATATAAGGGAAGAGAGGTAGCGTTTCTCATTTTTTGTCGTCGAAAAACACGAGAACTATGCAAAGTAACGAATATCATGGGATCAGACGGGGCCAGGGTTGAAAAGTCGCGAAGCGGCTTTTCAACCCTGGTACTCCTTAAATACAAATCCTACCTTATATAATTTTGGCGTGTAACTGTGTGTGTGTGTGTGGATGTCACTTTCGAGGCCCGATTTGAGGACCTTCCCGTGCATAAAATGCTCTAATTCTCCGTCACTTGGGGAAATCGACCCTTCTGTTTCCAATGGCGCTTTCAGAATTTTGATCAAATACAAGTTTACAAAGTTAAAGCCGGTTTTACTCATTTTTGGGGGTAATTTGCATACTGTGAAAAATAGAAATTTCTTCATTCTTGCAAGTTGCACGCGCGCGTGTGGTCGGCCGGGGGAGGGGTCCGAAGGACCCAGAGGCTATCGAAAAGTCAAATTTTCTTATGCAAAGGCCGCATTCCAGCGCCAAGGCCCGCGAAGCATGGTTTGAGCGCTAGTATTACTATAATACTTTGACATATACATATCGTTAGTTGTTTACGACACCCACAGGACCATCAATTCTCCAAAAAATATTTTTTAATCCTGGGTTAAACTTCTTGAAACATGTTCTTATTATACCTCAAATTACATTTTCAAATAAATGAGTGCCCGTAGGATAGCATATTGAAAAAATAGCGGGCAAATACAAGTTTTTACAAGAAGAAGCTACGTTTTGGCTGTGCTCCAACGGCTATAAAAACGCTCTTTATGTTTAGTTTTCAACCATAGTTTACCTTATAAAACTTTTAGAGTCCATTTTTCGGGCTGAATACAATTTTATTATTTTATTTTTTACGCTCTATCGAATGGCATTCGCGAAATCGCGCACTACTTTAAATTTCAAAAATATTGGTCAACCTCCGTGATTTTATTCCAATCTATTATGCCGACAAATTGATAGCCTTTTAATCGTTGGTGCGACAATATGCTCTGAAACACATTTCTGAGAATAACACAGGGCTCAAAATAAGGGCTTCTAAATGAGCCTAGATAGATTTTTAACGCCGGGACCATAAATAGTCATTTCGGAACAATGCCAAATAGATAGTAAGACACATCTGAATTGTCAGAGAAGGCAATTTTCTGAAACCCATTTTTTATGAAAACTGCGTAGAAATTTTTATAAAATCGTAATCGTCGGGGAGAGTTTCCACGCATTATTGATTTACTTGAAATTTTAGTTTATCGGGTGTATACAACGTAAAAACCCGGATTTCCAGGCGAATTCCGCGACGAGGGCGCTGCGGAATGCGTCGGAAACGCCATCGTCCAGCACGCCATTGAGGGAGGGACGAATTGCTGTAAACAGTCCACAAAGGTATCAATTATCCTTGAAAAATATTGCAAAAAACAAACCGAAAAACGAACGATGAAATTGGCGAAATTAGTGCAATTGAGGAGCTCAAATCAAAATACAAAAATCATTTTTGCGAAATAAATGTTTCCAAATCCATGCATGTCGGTTGCGTAAAAACCGGTACAATCTTCTGAGAAGTTACGTGAATTTTGCCAAAAATTCAATTTGGTAAGACTAAGAAAAATCGGTACTAGACTGTTAGCGGGGGGGGCTAAGTTTTATTCTTCCTCGTCTAGTTGTTAATATTAAATATAATGTTTCTAAATTGTTTTAATGGTTTTTCATTGCTTTTGTTTAAGACATTAAAAATAGCTTAATTTTTATAATTTTTATGGGCTTTTTATATCAAAAAACTGTGTAAAATGCTATAAAAATTGTTTATATTTGTAATAGCGCTGCGCTGGATGACTGTGAAAAGCATTTTTTGATAAAGTGGTCGTCCCCCAGCCGCCAACAGGGCACTACGGAAAAACCCGCTTCAGAAAAGGTGTTTCGAGCAATCTTAGAATTTATTCATGATAATTCACTGTTTTCAAATTGCTAATTGCACTTTGCTTTGTTGCAGCCTAATTTAATAATTAGAAAAACTCTACCGTGCTCGTTCAAAAATTAAATTTGAAGAAACGAAAGAAAAGGTGTTTCAAGTAACCTTGCTGCTGGCCAGGTTTTGGAGATGATAATTTAAGGTTCAAATAGTTGGGTGACTGAAATAACGGAAGTCAATCATTATTTCTAATATTTTAAATTACCGTGGGAGTTCTCGAGTGACATTCGATAGAGCGTCCGCAAATATTCAGACAAATTAATCTCAGCACGAATAATATAGAGGCGTTTTAGCATCAAAACTACGGGTGAAAACTGGAAGGCAGCACATAGGATAACGGGAACACATTTATTTTCAAAATTTTCGGTATTTTAAAAACGCCATTATATACTAGGAGGCCGCAAAAATATACCGCTTATATAAGCGCTTTTTTATAGCCTGCGAAAACCGTATTTAAAGCTATTTTTATTACAGGGAAATGACGAATCCCGCGCCCTGGGTTAGCCTAAGAAAACCCAAAACCAAATTTAACGAAAGCGAAAGGAAAGGTGTTTCAAGTAATCTTGGTATTTAGCAGGTTTTAACCATGGCAATACTCGTCGCTCGCACTGGAGATAAATATATAACTAACAAGGAGACGTTTTTAGTGTCCACGGAGTTTCGAAATGGGACCAAGCCTATTTTATGCAGACTTTTGCGCTGATTAAAACCTCGTTGACAGAATCTGCGAAACGACCAAACTAAGAAAGTTATGACACTTTAAAAGGCGAAAAACGGCAAAGTTGGCCATTTCGGGGATTTTTCATATTTTAAAGCCTCATGGCTTTTGAAATATGATTGTTTCGCAGATTGTTGAAAGTACGTTTTGATCAGCGAAAAATTCTGCATAAAATAGGACACTAAAAAAAATTTCAAAACTCCGTGGACACCAGGGTTGGTCACGAAAAGAGCGGGAGCTGGGAGCGAGAGCTGATTTGCGAGCCCCGCTCAAGAGCGGGAGCGGGAGCTGAAAATCCTTAGCTCCCGCTCAGCTCCGGCTCTTGAGCCGGCTCTTATGGAAAGAGCGAGAGCCGAATTCTGCTAATTTCGAAAACAGATATCTATGCAAATAGGGGCAATGCAAGGCCAAAAATAGTCAGTTTTATTGGAATTTTGGGAGATTTGCATAAATAACTAATTTGCAGCATCCGGTGGAGGTAGAGCAGGGTTCGGCTCCCGATCTTTCCAAAGAGCCAGCTCAAGAGCTGGGCTGAGCGGGAGCTAGCGCTCAGCTCCCGCTCGGCTCCTGCTCCCGCTCAGCTCCGGCTCAGAGCCGGCTCTCAAAATGACCAACCCTGGTGGACACTAAAAAAACGTTCCTTGTAAGCTTTGATTGGTGAGAACCATCACGAAAGAAAAGGTGTTTCGAGCGATCATGGTATTTGGCCCGTTTTATTAATACCAATTACTGGTTCAAGTGTTCGGTGAAAATTATTTGATGTGGCATGCGCAACTCGAATTCTTTTACATCGCTATTTCCACTAATTAAGAAATAATCTTAATAAATAATTCAAGAGATAATTTTTAATAAACCATTTAATTGCAGGCATGCGGTCTTCTGGTGGATTCTCCATGTTTCCCCGGACTTTCACGTGGCCTGCACGCATCCGTTGCCCAGTATTTCGACTGCAGGGAACGGTACGGTATTTTAATTTATTTAATATTGTTTTTAGGATAGCTTTTGATAATTTTTAATAGTTTAATAGTTGTTATAATCAAAACACAATGTTGTGTCGTGATCGAAAAATTTTGAAAATTCGAAAAAATATGTTGCAGAAAAATTACCGATTTTTCACTTCGGCTGTTCGGTAATAAAAAGCATACTCCCTTGGTCTTACTAATAACTCTCCGATGAAACATAAGAACTTTCAGCTTGCTGCAGCCCTGGTCTGGTCGAAGTGGAAATTCGGTACGTGAGTTAGCACATCTTGTGCAGAATTTTTCGCTGATTCTGAAGCCGGTTTCTAAAGTCGCGGAACACCCCAGAATAAGAAAGTTACAAGTGTTTTCAATGCCCAAAACGCGACGAATTTCTTACTTTAAATTCTTCTGAAAAGTCGGTGAAATACGTGCTCTTTCGAATCGGCGACCTAACGAACCCGTAGCTCAAAATCTGGAAAAAACCTTTTTTGGCGGACCCTGCCCTAATTAGCCAATTTTCGAAATGTTCAAATTTGAGCTACGGATTCGTGAGGTAGCCCATTCGAAAGAGCACGTTTTTTAACAGGCGAATTGCTTACTTTCCCCCAAAATTATGTCACCGGATTTTTAGAAGAATTTACCGTAAGAAATTCGTGGCGTTTTAGGTATTATTAGCTGAAAGGTTTTTGGTTCTTAGTAAGAGAATTATTCGTAAGACCAAAGGACAGTTATTACTGAAGAGCCCAAGTGAAAAACCCGTAATTTTCCGGTAACACATTTTTTAATGTTTCTTATTTTCTGGATTTTCCCATTACTGTAAACTGCAAATTTTGAACAACGACGGGGAATCAGCGAAAAATTCTGCACATGATGCGCTATCTCACGCACAGAATTTCCACTTCGACCAGACCAGGGTTACAGCAACGAGAGGAGGATATGGAGCCATTGATGCTTTCAATTTCGCTGGCGCTCCGAAAATTTTTGAAACATTTTATTCGATCTTTTTAGGCTTCGCCAAGAGCATTTCCGGATGTGGATCTCGTTCCTGAATTTCGTCTCCGATATCTATGCAAATATCGGGAATGCACAGAGTGGTAAGGGCTACGGTTTACTTTGCCCCCACAGCTGGAAGTTTTCGACTATAACTTTTTTATTTTACATCATTGTACGCTACGTACTCTACGTACGTACTCTACGTATATTTTTCGACGCTCTATCGAATGGATTTGCAAAAACGCCGACAAAAATAGCGCAAATATCGAAAATTCGGGTGTAGGAGGGGTAAACTCTTACCGTGGTAAGTTGTGAATTTGAAATCTTTTGGTTATAACTTGTAACAATTTAGAAGACTTTTAAAAGGATATTTTTCAGCTCATTGCAATTTATTTAAAATTCATTTTTAGATATTATTTACATGCAAAAATTGTGCGCAACGGCACATTTTTAGTCTAAAAAAATGTTTCGACAATAACTTGTGTTTCTGTGCTTTTAGCCTCCATAGTAGATGTGTCTTTCGTTGGTTTTTGATAACTGTAAAATGTTTTTTTGGGAGATAATAACTTTAACAATTTAAAAAATTGGTCAATCAGGAATTTGCCAAAATATTTGTCCAGGCGAGCTGGTGAACATCGTCTTCCAAGTGTTCGACTACCTGTTGAGGGCGCCCGTCTTGGAGACGCTCAAAATCGAGGAGGTCAGCCGGGCAATTTTAATTTTTCAAACTGATAATTTAAAGTGAATTTAACAAAATAAAATATTTTACTAGTTACCGTTTTCGTTTCCTAACGGTGATCACGGTTTTTTAAAACCCCCTGCAAAAAAAGCAGAATTAAAGATCGGTAGGTCAATTTTAAGTTGCTCGAATTTGAAACATTTGAGCGCAAAATATGTAAACCTTACCAAGCTTAACTTAGCTTGGGAATCGCTTTAAAGGAAAGAGCAAGGCATCGCTATCGACTCTTTATGGTTTTTCGTGCGCAAGGAAGATTTTTGTTTCATTTTTTCAAGCTCGAAACGATTGCAAAAATGATGTTTTGGCTATAATGGTAATCGATGTGAGGATCAACGCAAATTAATGGGCAGCTTCAGTATCTTCAGCTTAAAGTTTTTTGAGCAAATCGATAGCGGGTGCTTTTACAATATCGGGGGGGGGGTTCTAACGGGAAGCAGGCTTTCAAAAAAATTTAGCTTCGAGAAAAAAAAGCAGAGACATTAAAGCTGAGAAAATTCAGCTTGGATGGCTCGGAAATGAAACCTTTAAAAGCCACAGACTTAAGTATCTTTAAGTCCTTCGGGGCAACGTGCTATAACTTCCTTAAATTATTGATTTTCGCTGCACGCAACAACCTGCTATTTAATTCACCTACATAGCGCGTTTTCTCAAGTTCGAGAAGCTTTCAAAAAAGATGTTTTGTGCTGGATTCGTAATCGACGAACGGATGATATACACCAATTTAACGAAGAGTCGGACTTTTCTTTTCTAACGCTTTTGTTTATATAATCGAGGAAATGTTGCTAAACCTTTTTTATTTTCCTAATCGCAAAAACTTTACAAATTACTATTTAAAAAGACAACAATGTCGATTTTTCCGTCAAAAATGACCAATTTGCGACCAAAATTTCGATTTTTAATTACAGTAACGTTTTTAGATAGTGTTTCGATTTTTGTTAATTTCTGTTAGCGTGTTTTTAAAAATAAGCACTATTATGTTTCTAGATGTTTCTCAATTTACAAAAAAATGCTCCCCTTCCCCCCCGATAACATAAAAGAACCAATTTTTTGCAGGTTTAAAAAGTATGTTTTTCCAAGGGTAATAGGCGAACCATAAATTTATGCGTTAATATGCTCAACTGTTTCTTTTCCAGCTCGAATGCCTAATCGCGTCGCTGCTGAGCATCGGCTGGGGATTGGAGCGTGATTGTCCGGATCGACTCTCACAGCTGAAGGACCTCATCCGCGATGCCTTCATCGACGTGCACGAGCCGTGGGCGAGGTTCGTTTTCAAATTCATATTTAAATTAAAACTCGCAAAAGGTCAACAAGGGTAAAGGTTGCTTTAACGGGGGGACCAAGTTTCTATTTAAAAAATTATCTTTTTGTTTGGAAAAACCGATCGAATAACGCGTTAAAAATTAGCCTAAAGTGGCTATTTTATTTTAGCCAAAGACTTATTTTACAACTATTTTTAATTAATAATAAAAATCATATAATAAATTGATTTTTAATTAAAATAGTAATTATAATAAAGTAATACTTTTAAATGTCGTACTTTAATTTACAGAAAAATGATCCTGCTGCTCCTCGAGCTGGGCGCATCCGGATGGAAGCTGCCCCCCGGACGCCAACGAATACTACTTTTTACAGGGGAATAATTAATCATCCATACGAACGCACCATTGAAAACCCCTATTATCTGAAATCCTTATCAAAAACGGAAACATACTTTTAAAATCGCCCGCAAAAACCTTTTGTATTTTGTAATAAAAAAACGATGAGAAATCGTTGAAAACGGAGAATTAATTAACGTCCCAGAACTGAGCTGTTCCCCCAAATATTGGTGAAACTTTTTTTTGCGATAATTTCTTTATCTAAAATTTTGTAATGTTGTTTCTAAGGCTTAATCTACCATATCCATTACCAGCCGATTACAGCCGCTTCGTGACTGCAATCGGCTGGCCTTCGGGCTACCCTACATGTTCTGCACCACCACATTACATCTTTACCTTCCTCAATACCCGCCTGATCGCTTCAAATACCTTAATACCTTCAAAAACTTAGATACTTTCCTGATCTCTGTAAATACCCCCTACCCCCTATAGCCGAAATCCCCATCAAAAACTACCTAAATACCTTCCTGATGGCTTCAGATACACCCCATAGCCGAAATCCCCTTCAAAAACTACCTAAACACCTTCCTGATGACATTAGATAATTTAAAGGTTTTAAATAACGAATTAACATAATTAAAACGTATTAAAAAGTATTAAAGCGATCAGAGCGCGGGAAGGGGCCTAGTGAAAGGGGTTGCGGAAAGGGGGCGTGGCCTGCCGGGAGAGGGGCCCCCACTCGTTTTATGAAGGCGCCACTTTCAAAGTTAATTTTAATAATTTAAAATACAACTTTTTCATAATTTTTTTATCAGTTTGGGGGGTTTCTGACCACGCTCTATCCGAATCCGAAGAGACCTAAGCTCTAGCTCCTTCCCCCTTCGAGTTGAATTCGGCTTCAGACACACAGACAGACGGACGTCTCTACTTTTTTATTATAGTTGATGATTATGTCCTAATATTTAACCTATACAAACATTTTTATGCAACTCGCCCGAATTACCCTAATAAATCGGCTCAAATTAATTTCTAAATGGTTTTCAAAGAAAGGTTTTTAAATATCCCCTCGTTTAAAAAAAAAATTTGTAGAAATTTATTTTGGTATTGGTAATAAAAATAAGCACAATTGCGTAAATCACCGAATTATTAACCGCCCAAAAGCGAGCTGCTCACCAAGGATTGGTGAAACTTTTTTTGCCAAATTTTTCTCGAAATTTTTCATTTGTTTTGGAAAGCCGAAGCTACCAAATCCACTACCGTACCCCAATATTTAATCCATACAAAAATTTTTATGCAAATCACTTTAATTTTCTAAGCAAATCCATGACCCCGACCCCCAGTCCGCTACACGGGATTTTTGGTGCATTCTTTTCACCAAGACGATTTTTTCTTTTTATTATTTGTGTTGTACCTTAAATTTCGCTGTCAGTTTTCAAGCCTGAAATGTCATTTTTCTTTATAATGGTTAATTTTAATCGTATATCGGTGTTTTTCATTGCTGATGTGACCAATCTCCAATATTTCCCATTCACTTGATTTGTTGTTTTCATGTTCTTGTTTGGTTTAAAGAAACATGTTCCGCTGCTGAAACAAGTGTAAATAATTTCTTGATAAATAATGAAGCCTCATATGTGCATGCAAATAAAAAGCAATAATTTACGCAGGTCTTCCTATTTTAGTTTTCTCATAACTATTTTATTTTGCATTATTTAGGTTGGAATTACAACAATATAATTATATCTCTCGTGGCTGGGTGGTGGAAAACACGTTTTAATTTTGGACTGAGGTTCATTGGTGGTTTTCCTCTGTTCCTGGAACGCTTTATGTGAAAAAGCATGTTTGGCTGCTGAAACCAGTGCAAATAATTTTTTGATAAAGAATGAGAATTCGTTTCTCATCTCAAATAAACAGCAACAATTTACACGGGGTTCCTATTTTTGGTTTGTCATGACTATTTTATTTAGCTTAGTATATTATTAAATGACCTTTCGAATAGCAAAGAAAATTTGCAAAATATCTAGAATGTCAAAACGGGGGGGGTGGAAAACGTTAAAATTTTGTTATGCTTTATTTTTGAATTGTTGATTTTATAAGTTCATTCACTTTTCCTCTTCTCTTCTCTTCCTCCGCGCTTTTTTGAAGAAAACATGCTTCGATGCTGAAACTAGTGTAACCAATCTTTTATTGGATAATGGGGGAACAACATTCAACGCAAATAAACATCAATAAATTACACAGTTCTTCCATAGTTTCCATTATTTAGAGCTGAAATTCAATCCCGTCGTAAAATTTTCGATGTTCTATCGGATGGGCTAAAAACAATTTTGTGTAAAATTATTGAAAATGTCGGAAACTAGGTTCCAAACCATGTTTTTCCTAAGTTTGGTTTCTACACGTTTAAATTTTTGTAATACTTATGCTTATTGGTTATTTGCATCTGTTCCTGGAACACTTAAAAAAACAGGTTTCGCTGCTGAAATCCTTGTCAACAATTTTTGATAAATAATGACGATCTAACGGCGTCAGGTCAAGATAAACATCAATAATTACATAGGTGTTCTATATTTTTCTTATATTGGTCATAAATATTTTATTTTACATTATTTAGGGCTAAAATTAAAAAAGATGGATATAATTTTGGATCCTCTCCTAAATAGAGTTAATGAAAATTTGAAAATATCATAAATGCCTGAAACTAAATTTTTGTTTTGATTATTTTGTTTGTTGCTTTCATCTTTTCCTAAAAATGCTTTTTTTAAAACATGTTCCTTTGCTGAAACAAGGGTAAATAAATTCTTGATAAATAATAGTGACGCAAAGACAGGAAACACCTATTTGGGCGCTACTGTAAGTATTTGAGCATGTAATGAATTTTTATTCAAGATCGATTGAGCATAGATTCGGCAAATACATCACGATCATTGCACTCAGATCCGGACAGGTAAAGCGACAGTATGGACAGATAGATGGGCGAATAGTAATTGTAATTTTTGAGGCTTTCGCATACCACCTACCTCCCCCAAAATCGAGCAAATTAAAGTGGTTCTTTCGCGTCATGCGGGGGGGGGGGGGAGGGAGGGCGGGATTTTCTTATAACTCCAGAAATGTTTAGTTTGTAATAGCAAGTGTTTCATTAACTGCTTTATTAAAAATTTTTAAAACCATACGCTAAGCAAAAATTCTCAAAAAAATCGAGAAAAATTTTAGATGCTATTTTGGTCGAAAAATCGGTAGTTTTGCATTTTTTAAGCCAATTTTGAACGTTTTGAATTTAGTGAATAGTCAACACAATTTAGAAACACTTCCTCAATTTATATTAGAAAAATTGATTTATTTTTTTGAAAGAATGTTTCACCATTTTTACAAGGCAAAAACTGGGAATGAGGATCGATACACAATTGGACCAGATTTGGCCGACCAGAATAAATAAAAAGTGTTTCACAAAAAAAATGTTTAACACTTGGCGAGCAGCTCCTTGGCCTCCCGTATACAGGCCATTCCACCCTCATCTGGCGCTGTCAATCGGGAGCACGGCTCCAACACTTGCCGCGCCGATGCCTGAAAATCAATGAAAAAATGGCCATACCTTATGCATTATCAGGGGGGGAGGGAAGAAATTTTTTCTTAGCAACGAATTTAGATATAAATAACGGTAGTGTTTATAACCCTGTTTACTGTTTGTAAACGCACAAACTTTACAAAATTGCAGTAACAAAAAAGCAAAAATCTCCATTTTTTTGATCGAAAATGGACGTTTTTCTAGTTAAAATATCGTTTTATTTTACCAAAAAAATGAAATATCGGCTAATAAGTCACCAGGCTTTTCTTAATTGATAGAAAAATTATGTTTCCCCGATAAACCCCCCCGATATTGCGAAAGAACCCAATTATGTGTTAGTCACGAACATAACCAAAAAAATAATGAACGGTTTAAAAATTATGTTTTACGTTCAAAAGGATAACTCCATGCTGTTTTTCATCAATCGAACGCCCCAGATTGGTGAATAAAAATCGAATCCTACAAGAAAAAAACTTGTTAACCGCAGATTGAGAAAATGCGGCCTTTAAGAAGGATGTTTTGGAAAAACTACTAAAAAGGGTGAGGTTGATTCCTGTAATTAATGTGGGTGGTTGCTTCAATTATATCCCGAAGAATATCGCGATGATTAGAGGGACGGGCAACAATTTGGATACCTTGTCCTTGTTGGCGATGTGGCTCTTCCCCAACCACAGCAAATTCTCCGGCCATTCCGGCTTTTCCTGAAAACTGGGCTAGTGCGAAATATCCACGAATTATAGGTTTCTATTGGAATTTGGAAGTAAAATTTCATGAAACACAAGTTTTTTTTTGGAAAAACTGCTGTCCGGAAAAGCTCAATTTTTGTCGAGATTTTCGCTATTTTTCGACATTTCTTATCCGCCATTCGATAGAGCAGAAAAAATATCCAAAAATTTGTAATTACAGCGCAAGATACTTTAATATAAAAAAGTTACGGCAAAACGAAAAATGCAACAAATAACTTTTAAAATTGTTCATTGTTCGACATTTTGTAAACTAAGTTCGATAAAAGCTACGTTAAAAAATACCTTAAATATGGATTTAAACAATTTTTCCATTTAAACGTAAAATGCCTGCGTGATCACATCCCATTTTGCAAGAATACACCCAACTTACCAGGAAGCATTGGGTGACGTAAGATCCGTCGAAATAACCAATTTTTTAAAACACGTTTTTCGGAAGGTAAATCAATTTTTGGTGCCACTGATTTCAAAAGATTTTTTAATTTAATTAAGATGGATTTTTTATATTTTCAAAAATGACAATTAAATTATTAGGATAAAACCCACTTTATCCGCAGCAGCAAAGTCCTCAATGGCCTCCTGAATTGTGGCGGTTGGCGGGTCGGCGAAAAAGGTCGACGCCATCTGAAATTGCGGGCTTTGGGACTGGACGGTTAGCGGGGGGAGTGATTTTTAGAAGAGGGAAATAAAATTGTTTCCAGTAATTCTGTATGTTGTATAAAATATAGGCCATTTTAGTA